AATTCATTAATCCTTTAACCCTTTGCGACACAGCTAAACCGAGGAAGCCCAACTCCAGGAGCTGGCGAGCCACGGTCCAGATTTAAAGATGCCTTACTATCGTCAATGGTCCGTTAGACCAATCAAGTTGTTAACTGATCAGATGAACTAATTAAGAGCACAGGGGTGGAGTGGCTCTCCAGGATGTGGAGTGGAGGACACGGAGCTAATTGATGGAACTGGTGCATTCCTATGGCTGGCTCCATTCTCACCTGGGTACTTGAGGCTTCTAGTGCGCTCACCAGAACAGGGTATAGGTACAGGCAGCATCAGGAGGCAGAGCTGCAGAGAACTGACCTGTCCAGGGGCATGTGGACAGTGTGGACCTCTGTCCCTTAGAGCTGGTCTGCTCCCTTTGCTCTGGTTCCACAGGGCTTTGCTGACAAACATGTGAAAGGAAGGCAGTTACATGGTCACAGGTCCTTTGTAAATAGTGCAAAAATTACAAAACTGTGGCAAAATTCTGATTCTCCCTCCAAAGACAGACAAGAAGACGCAGAATCACATAAAAAACAGCCACAACAGGCGAGCTGTGCACAGCAGCATGCTTGCCTCCGCAAGTGTGGAAAGACAAACAATTGTGGAAAACTGCAGGGAGTTACACGGATATCAGCGGTGAAAGCAAGTGAAAATTTACAAGGTATATAGGAATACGTGATCTGCTCTCCGGGCTCTGGTTACCTCTCAAGTTTAGGTCTGTGAGAGGGTTACACAAGCCAACTCAATAGTTTGCCGATATGCTGATATTCAGAGAAGCAGGTCGAATCTATACACGTCCAGGATGTATATTACAAACGGCACCTCGCTACCGGACTCGAGCTGTTCCTTCATGCTCCGGGTGGAGGAACACACACTGCTTCGGTTTCAGCTGCCAGTATTCACTGTCACTTTCCATGCTGTTCAGGTACCGGAACATCACGGTTTTAGTTCAAATACTGAGCACAAAAGAAAGCAGGGATATTAGTTAAGGGCATAAAGAGATTTCAGCTATCACAGACTCCCACCAGAACAAGCCTCAGTAGTATTTCATTGACAATGTTTATCTGCTCGTACCGGTGCTTCAAAGAGAAAGACGGTGATAATACTATTTGAATTTCCAGCCTTTGAATGTTTCTCAGTACATTCTGCTATATTACAATAAAGCAACATCTTATGTCTTAACATAACCTTCATAAAATAAATAATAATTTACAAGAAACAAAGTAATACTGGATATTTCCCATTTACTATACAATACTTCCTCCTGCTGTGCAGGAACTTCCTACAGCTCGCAGGAAAGAGTCTTCAGGGAGACCTGGAAACCAAAGGGCGAGAGTGGCCACCATGGCTGCGCACCATGGGGCTCTGTCCAGTGGGGCCCGGGGAAACAGCAGTTCAGACTCATGTATGGGAGGGGGGCGCCCCTTGCCCTCGTAGCGGCCCTGTTGGGGTGCTCTCCGAGTCCCATGCGTCCACCTGCATGACTCCAAGCTTATCTGACTCCTTCATGCTTGCAATGGCTCAGGCAGCAAACCTCCCAGGCGCCCTGCGTGTGCGCTCCAGAAACGAAAAAAAAAAACATTCTGCTCATCAGCAAACCAGCGCATCAGTGTTTTTTTCAACGCCACAGAAAGTACCTGTTAAAGAAATCAGGGCAAGTCTTCTTTTTTTTATCTCCTCCTTCTCTTTTCGCTTTTGTACAAGAAGCCCCAGAACATGCGGTTTTAAATCGGATCCTCTTAGGGTGCAAAAAAACCCAGCCTGAATGCCCAGCCAGTGCCAGGCTGGTCGAGCTGCATGATGCTGCGCTTAGCAGCTAATCTAAGGGCTGGTGGCCTGTGTGGTCGTTCACATCGGCAGTAGTCTCTCTTCTTCCTTCTTAAACCCAACATGGGCTAAACACAAAACTCACAGCAGCACAACGGAGACACCACACGTATCGATGCTACAGGAAACAGTCCAGGCGCGGCCCTCTGTGCCCGACCAGAGCCACAGGTAAACAGCTACACTCATCTCCGCGTGGGACGCCCACAGCCGCTGCGATGCGAAGCAAAGGGCTTGGATGTTCGTCGTTTGGCCCCAGATATTCCTCTGGTCTGAAATCAACAGGTTTCCCATCGCGATGGGTTTGGCACTTTGCTCAGAAAGGCGAGTGGTATGGCAACGACTATTCGAAAGACATAAGGTTGGCTGGTATCTGCAAAGTCAAAGAGACAAAAACTCCCTTCAGTTACTGGAATACAACGCTTGTCTAATCAAACAACATGATCAGAATTCAGAGCGACTGACAGAGGCCAGGCAGAGAGCAGAGTCCTGGAGAAGCTGAGTCCTTCACCGCTGGAACACTGCGCCTCGTAAACGCACTGCGAGAGCATTTCTGTAGTAGTGCTGAAGCCTGCTCAGGACAGGGATTCCCAGAGTCCCCTAGCTGGGACAGCCATTAGCTACTGTAATCCCAATCCAAACACAGCTGCACTCCATTCTGTTGTTA